AAAAGAGAACCTAATAGTTGGATATCAGGTTCGGGTCACATTTGTCGCGACGATTTCTCAGCTGACAACCACCAAGGACTCGGTGAAAAAATAAGTGGATTTTAGCCCTAAGCCAGCATTAAAGAATTCCGCAGTTCCTTCTAATCAAGCGTCTCCAATTCCTGGCTGCTGCACTATGCATCTAGTTCTGCCTGCAGCTGTTCCACTGTAACAGCCTCCAAATTTTATTTTTCACAACATCTTCCTCTTGAGAGCAGATGTCTTTCTTACTCCTTCACATTGATTGGCAATTTCCACACTGACATCTTGTAATTAAAAAGAATCAGCACAGTAGCAATTTCTATCACGATGTTAAATAGAAGAAATAGAGAACCCAAGTTGTTTGATTGTTTTCACCAAAAATTATTTGTTATCAGCCCTGTAACTGTCAAAAACGTGAGAGATTACTTAAATTTGAGGCTGTAAACGAGGTAAAAGGTCGCAAAGGGGAAAACTAATTTTACAATAAGTTAATATTAAGAGGATGTTCATTTCTACATGTGCGAACGCTATATTTTGTCGCATTGTGTTTCATAGTAAAAGCCGAGAAATCTTTAATCGTGCCCCTAATTCAATGCAAGGAAACTTAAAACCGATACAAACGTGTTGAAACGTGTAGAATTCAAAAACGAATCCGTCTAATGCACCTCTACTAGCGTGTATGTTTATATTTTCACAGACCTCGAAAGGTGCGCGCGTGTAGCGTAAAGCACTTCGCTCCCATGGAATTTAAGAGTCTACACATTTGGTTTTCTTTACTTGATGGCTCCTATACTTAATAAGAGACTGATTTTCAGATAATTTATTTACAAGCGTAATGCATTCCCCATTCGTCGCTTTGTTGATTGAGGCGGCCGCAGCGCACGAGCTCTTGGTCCACCTCTTGCGCTCTATTTTCGGTTCGTTTTAGCGGTTCAAATCGCGAGGGCCTGATTTAACCAACAGGCTCATAGGCCCTTTTATTATTTTCAATTCCCATCGAGGCCCCAAAATCCGAATGACTAGACCCTGAAATCGAGCTGCTCTCACTCGAAGTACTATCCGCCATGTATATTTTGCTTAGTGTCCACACGTGTGACGTATCAGGTCACACGATCACATTCGAGGCCTTTATTGTGGAGGACTCACGAAGCTGCATTTAGGACAGTTTTCCAAATGAAAAAAGGCACAAAGAGGCGTTCGAAGTACCGTGTGTCTGTTTTAATATGTTACCTGAGGCATTTAGACAGTATT